AAAAAAAAAAAAAAAAAAAAAAAAAAAAAAAAAAAAAAAAAAAAAAAAAAAAAAAAAAAAAAAGGGGGGAAGGAGGGGGGCATAAGAAAGAAAGAGTAGCTTCCAACTTTCCTTGGTACAGGTAAAGATGCAGTATATATTTGCCTCTTACTCTAACATCTAAACGTTTACATAGTAAAAAACAGTTTTTAATCTAGTATTCAATAAGATTCCTAAAATCAATCTATTTGGGCAATACATATAATTTGTACAAGATATTTCTATAAGGATAACATCAATCAGCAAATCCCAAAATCAAAGTTGGATTTGTTTGAGTATCAAGCAAAAAGTCTAAGAGTGGTTTCCAATTAGAAACAAAGTTAGACAGTGCTCCGTGGGAGAAGTAGCAGTTCTTGAAACATTTGCTTACCTCGTTATTTGCAAGGTACAGGTAATTCAGATTCTCCAGCTGGTCAAATGTATTCTCTGGAAGTCCTTCAAAGAATATGGATACAGTATTTTGACAATCAGTATCTCAGTTGATAGTAACCACTAGAACTTTTATCTCCTGAAAGATTTCTATCTTTGCGATAATGCTGGCTGTTGCTGGTGTTATTTGGAAACTATCAGAAATATCAGATTCACATAAAAAAAATAAAAGTGATTTTGATTACATAGTTTGGGATCATCCAAATAGATACTCCTGGTACATTGACTTCTTTGAACAGCAAATCCCTGCTTCAGTTGATAATGGTGAGTTGTGTAGAACTATTGACATTCTGGTTGAGATAATGGGAACCATAGTCCAATACAAGTAGTCTTTGCTTACCGACCACTCGGTCAGTGACTGTTTGAACTTACGACACCACTGAAAATAGAGACTTATGACTGGTCCTCAAAGTTGTGGCCATTGCAGTGTCCCCACAGTCACGTGATCACAATTGGGGCACATGACAACTGGCACGCTTTTACAACGGTCGTAGCACCCGCAGCCACGTGATTGCCATTTGTGAACTTCATAGCTGGCTTCTGGCATGCAAAGTCAATGGGGAAGCTAGCAGGAAGTCACAAGCTGCAGTCATGTGACATTGCGCTTAATGACCCATGGTGATTCGCTTAATGACTGCAGCCAGAACTGATGGAGTAAGTTGGTATGATCACATGATGTCACATTAATGACCTCACTGCTTAGTGACAGAGTTGCCAGTCTCTATTGTGGTCAGTAAGTGAGGACTACCTGTATATCCAAAGGGCTCAATCAGAACAGTAACAGAGGATCATCATCCATTTAAAGGCAATCTACTTTAAGTCTAGATTAAAGATAAAGATCCTTAAGAGGAGTTCTTGAAGTTACCTGCCCCACAGTTAGGTACATCAGGGCAGTAGACTGAAAGATCAGATAGACACTATCTTCCCCATGCTGATGACATATTTGTTATTTAAAGCATAACATTTTCTTCCAATTTTGCATCTATACAGAAATGACTCTTGCAAATTTTGTACCAGGAATTTTTTTTTTCTTTTAACCTTTTTTTTGGGGGGGGGGGTGATACACAAATAGACCCTCCATGTTTAGGAAGTGCATCCATCAAACTGATAGTTCACATCACAGTGAAGCTCCTCAGGAACATAATCATTTGCCAGAAAAAAAAAATAGAGAAGTTGATGGCTGAAGTATACTTAATATACTGGGCCAGAATATGACATATGGCCATTTTTTGCTGTAATCTTGTCTTTGTTGGTTATTATGTTTACTTTGAAGCTATTTTGGATTTTTTCAGCTTACCTTTGGATGTCAGTCTGTTGTTTTGTAAATTCAGTGTTTCTAGTTTATGGAGACGTGCAAGCTCTTCTGGAATTATTTTTTCTATCTGGTTGTTCTGGAAGAAGAGAAAGGATGGATTAAAGATATTAGCTAAAAGTATTTGATCCATAGTTAACTTGCACAGGTTTTCTTTTGAAACAACAAGATCACTTGAATGGCAAGGAGACCTCTCTTGAATGGGCTTAGAGGGTGACACTGTCTAGTCACCTGTTCACTTTTGGCTGTGGCTGCAATAGGTTAAGAAATCAAAATAGGGCCAGGACTGAAAGAATTCCTCTGAATCCACTCAAAAGCTTGGGTATGACCATTAAAAATATTGTTGTTATTGTTGTTATTCTTAGTGATTTGCAGCACTTTGGATATGAAGGCAAAAAGATGTTTTGGAGCATGTGGGGGTGAAAACATAGCACCCATCTGCAATTCCCTAACTCTGAGATTTTCCCCAGGATTGGGCAGCTGCTCTTCCACCACAGCTTTTTGTGCAGATAGTACAGTAAGTACAAGTGTTTTAGTCCACGGCGCACTTTGCCAGGTGCATATACTTCAATTACAGGGAGTCCTCGTTAGTGAGCACAGTTGTGGCTTCACTTAGCGACTGCTTCGCTTAACAACCAAGTTGCCAGTCCCAATTGTGGTCGCTAAACGAGGTCTACTTGTAATGCCTTTCCCATTCTTCAGTTTTGATAATCTGGTTACAAGCTTTGCAGTGAACAAATATTACAGGTGACTAGAGGGCAAGGGGTCTTGGGTCATCAAAAAGTTGTCAGTCCTTGTTTAGTGTTCCTATACCTGTAAGGAAAGGTGGCTTGTCATTTCTGGGACATCCATGGGAAATTCTTTCAGTGAAAATCCACCACAATCCACAATCCCTTCCGAGTTGCAAGTGCATTTTTTAGGACAATCTGGAGCCAAGGAATTATGTTGCTGACTGAGTAGCTCAGGGGAATTTTCTGGGAACTCGTTGCTGTCTTCGTTGTTCTGGCCTTGAATCCTGCTGAAGTTAAACACCAATAGCCACAGCACGGGAAACAGGAATAGGAACTTCAGGAACATTTCCACTGAAATCAAGGAAACATTACAGTGTGTTGGAGATTGTTGCTAGCTGTTTTTAACGAGTAGGCACTGTCTTCTATAAAGGCAAAACATTTTAATTCAGAAGTTGAAAAACAAGTGGGTAAACCTAATTTACCATCAGGCATGACCAATCAAGTGTTGTATAAGATGACTCCAAAAATCTGCAAATCAAACCTAAACTTTCCAAATATGTCTACTTTTCACAATAGGACAAGACCAGGCAGCATGGTGTGTGCCTGTGGGCACAAATTTGCCTTTGTAGAGCTCCTTTATGCTCATTGGGCTCCTATTCCTGCAGTGTTGATTTATTTTTTTAGATTAATTTTTAAAAAATAGAAAGGTGGCATGCTACAAAATGAAGAATCAGCTTTTATTTATAATAATGCATCTGGGCTGCATACATCTCCAGAGGCATCCTTCAAATGTCACGGTGTGTTGCTGCATCCCAATGCTTGCTTGGAAGTGTGCCTGTCAGCCCTGAAAAAAATGACAGACTGATTCTGGGCCCGTGGAGCAATGTGGCTAGGACGTCAACTGATACATGGTGTTTTGTGATTAATAATGGCCAAGATAGCAGCCATTGTATGACAGTGTTCACAACATGACCTAAACTTTCCAAATATGTCCATGAGCCTCAAAATCCTACTTCTAAAATTAAGCATAGTAACAGAAGACTGATCTTTGTTATCTTAGTATTTATGTAAAGGGAGAAAAAATTGAACTTTTTCTTAATCTTACAGCACAAAGCTACAGCAGTTCATAACTAAATTTCTCATCTTCTTAAGTCTTTCCTACCGTGTACACTTTTCTTAACTACTACCGATGTTATTTATATTATTTCATTTATTTGTTACATACATATCCTGCTTTTCACTCAGGAGCTGCTCCCATTTTTCCCACAACAACACTCCTGTGAGGTGGGTTGGCTGAGAGAGTGACTGGCCCAAAGTCACTAATTAATTTTGATGGTTGAGGATGGACTTGAACTTGGTCTTCCTGGTGCCTGTCCAACTCCATGCCCTCATCCTTTTTACTTTGTAACTAGCCAATCTAGTTCATGGCAGCCATTTTCCAGGTGAGCAAGCATTCAACCATTACCACCTTTGGCAACCAGAGTGCCCACAACATGATGTCCACCACGTGCACAACCCACTGTTCACTTATTATATTCTAAGTAACTGGAACAGCTGCTCTCTAGGACAACTGCTTTAGTTCCAGATGTGGTTACCCACAGCCTTTTCACTCCTTCCCAGTGTGGAAGATGTTATTAAGTATGCCATTTGCCACTTGAATTATTTTATTTGGAAACAGATGTACTATAGACTCAGTTTAATCAAATATACTTAGATGCATAGCAATGTACTATAGATGGTCTCTGGATAGATATTCATTAATAAAGTTATCTCATATTAAGATACCACTTAAGTTTCTAATTGTATAACTAAACATGACTGAGAGGTGCAGGGCCTCATTCTTTGATCTGTGAGGAAGTATTTAAGGGGTCATCAGAAAATTGTTGTCTCATCTTTGTTACCAAGCAATAACCTATATCACTGTCTCTATTACTATCCATCTCATGTATACCGTAGGCATGTAGCCTATGTAATTACTCACAGTAACCTTATATGGCAACTTTTTCTCCTGCAAGGTTTAGGGTCTGACAACTTCTTGTATTCAATAAAACAATTGTTTGGATCCTCTCCATTTTTTTTTGGTAAGTTCTTTGGGGGTGTTTTCCACCATACCGCTTCTTTAACTTTGACAGTTTTTCAGTGTTTAATTTTTCAGAATATGATAGCTAAGATGTAGAATAGAATGAAGGAGTGACAACTTTTCAAAAGCAAAATAGGACATATAATTACTGTTTTGAAAGCCAGCCAATGGGTGATCTTTGGCAGTCTTAGGTCCTCACTCCTCTGAGGAGTTGAAGTACTTCCCACCCCTCCTTGAGTAGGCAAAAAACTAATCCACCATGAAATTTGCTCTGCCCCTTGCCAATCCCTATCCCGCCTCTTTTGCCTCTGTTTTCAATCATTGCAGTCCCCTGTCTTCCCTGCAAAGTAATAACTGACAAAGATTTAACAAATTGTACACACCTTGAGGTTTCCCTCGAATGAAATCAGTATGAAGGAGAAAATATTACTTCAACACTCGTCTAGCTAAGGATGACTGAAGTTTCCCTCAGGAGCTGGAGACAAGATAAAGGCCACGTCATGGCAGAAAAATAAATGTCAAAAAATAATTGTTCCCAGGGCATGTTCGCGAATGAGCAAGTGCTGAAGTTCATAAGCATGTAATATTTTGTTTCAAACAGAATATCATTGCCCAAAACCACGCAAGCCTTTTGATATTTAAGTTTATGTCCCACATCAGTGAGTTTTTCCAGAGACCTCCATAGGATTTAATTCTGACTTCAGCCTCAGAAACTGGTCCAAGCTATTTGTTGTCCACACTCCAATTTCAATCATCAAACCTTAAATGACTTCCACTATCAATGAAATTTCTGGCACATTATATATCTTCAAGGGTGCTGAGTGTGCATCTTTTTCTTTGATCACTTTCTGTCTCTCAGATACATACATACACACACACACATGTACACACACACATGTACAGACACACACACATGCAAACACAAAAACATGCATATATCCTATACATACAATAAACCTATATAGATCCAATATACAGAATGTATACATATGTATATACATCATACACACACACACACACACACAAATATAAATGGATGCAATGTTGAAATGAAAAGTCAGATGATGGATTACCTAGATTTTTTAAGAAATAAGAAAATAAAAGCAACTTTTTTAAAAGCACTACTTCAGGCTCTGCTAGCAAGGAACAAGATACTCATGCTTTTGGCATCAATCTTTCCCTCCTTTGAAGCAACAGCAGCTTTGATACCCTTGGGACATGCTTGGGATAAAGGAACATCTGCTAGGTTTCACAAAGAAGGTAATAAAACTAGGCAAGTTATTCCAATTAATTTTTTAGTTCAAAGAAAATCCTGAGGTGTTTTGCTTTTTGAAAACCTCAGTTTATATAAAGTGCCTCATTCAAAGCTTGTCCTCACTTCAAGCCTCTGCCAAGACCTCACCAAAGGTTGGCTAAGATCCTGTGACACTCGACCAAGCACAGTATAAAGTTCCTAGAGTAGTTTAATGGGTACAACCTTCTTGAAGTTGTTTCAGAGTCTAAAACAGAACTTCTGCCAATCAAGTCTTATATTCCTTGTTTCAGGAACTCATGGTGGGTAGGAATTATGTCTCTAGTAGTGCTTGGATATGTAAGGAATTGTTTGAAACCTATCTCCTGAAGGAGAGGGGAAGCAATTAGACATGCACAGAAAATAAACAGTCAATGACTCTGGTGCCTTCAGGCCTCTGCTATGCCTCTTATTGTTTCCTGTATTACTTGCTCAGCATTATCAGGTTATGCAGATTTGTGTGTCCATGACTTTCCAAAGAGCTGCAGCAAAGTCAAAGCCACTGTTTACCATCTCCAACTACCAGGCAACTACAAAGTTAAAGTGCAGAAATAAACTCACCTCGACTTTGTGGACAGTGATGGAAGTGTCTGGAAAAAGTGTCTCTCTTGTCCCCCCCACCAAAGGCTCCGTTTGCTCATGCCATATCAATTATGCACGCCGAGTGCCGAACACTTTCCCCCTTTCCCGAGTCAGAGGCTTTCCAGATGTGATCAGCAGAACTAGTAAGGGAGGGGGGAGAGAGAGAGAGAGAAAGAAAGAAAAAAAAATCAACTTCTCTCCCAAAGAGAATTTCCTGTCCTTTTCTATGCAGGGAGGAATTTTCCAAAGTCACCATATGGGAAGATGTAAGTAAACAGGGTTGAAGAATGTAATGGAGGAGAAAATATGGGAGAAATTCATAGTTGTGATATGAATTAACTGGCTTGGGCACTCCCAGTCATTTTTATCAGCAGAGGCTGTGGGAGTAACAAGGAAAGTGAGAGACAGAGCAGCCAATTTATTCTAGGCAGCCTAAAAAGCAAAGGAAATAATTCTTAAAGCACTGCCTTTTCCTAATAGCTCTGCCACCTGAATATTTTTGATTCCCAAATGCCAAGTTTGATTCCCACCACCACCAATTACTTTATAGATGGCCTCATGCTTCCTGAATTTAAACAGAGGAAGATCTTCTTTGTTTCCCTCATCTTTTCTCATTGCTTGGGGTTTTCAGTCCACTTGATATTCTCCTCAATGGCAGGCCCACATATTTCACATTTATGTGGGATATGACCACAAATGCCTGCTATCTTATTCACCTCGTTTTTCAGGGGAGAGCTCCATTTCTTTGTGGAACTGAGACAGCCGCTGTCATTTCAACACTTCCAGATGAAGTGCAGGTGAAGAGTGAAATAATTCCTTTAAGACTAGCTTTAAATTAAGTCAACAAGTTACAACAAATGCCCTTGGGTTGACTGGCAAGGTCCCTGTGGGAATTATGCAAATTCTTATCTCAGGTTCTAGCCTGAGATTCTGCAACTCCTCCTTCTGAAATCCACTGGGTTTACAGTATTTGGCTGTGTTTAAATTTCTGTTGTTTCATTTCCATCACCACTTCCAGATCTTGACTTACTTTCATTGGATTGGATGATATGTGATTCCCAAAAGCCAAGAGGGAAATGAATGCTTGCATCAAATGTACTGATTGTTTTATGTAAAATTACTCAGCATGTAAAATTTATTCTGCACTTTTCTACCTTCTGCCTCAACAGGCTGGAATCCGGAATCATACATGCCACATAGATTTCAGAAAACAGAATAAATGCATTTACTTCAAGGTTCAGAAAAGTACTGGGGTTTGGAAAGTGGGAAAGTTTACATAAAAAGGGGAGGCTGAACTAGTAGACTTTTTTCCACCACCACAATTCCCCAAATATGACATACCCTTTGTTTCTCATGTTACTATTTGTTTCAGTCTACTTTGTTGGTAGCTTCAAGCAATAAATTTATTATCTTATTATTATTAACTTATTATCTGGTACCACATAAAATACTTTAATCAGCCTTTTACCTGGTACCCTGCAGATATAATGCTAGCTGGGAATTATGAGAGCTGAAATCACATACTTCTAAAGTTTTGAGCAAATCACATGTAAAGTTCTAAAGTTTTGAGCGAAGTGGCTTAGTGGGATGAAAAGATAAGGGAAGAATGACAAGGTGAACCTGAGTTTGGTGTTGCTATCTTTGGGGAACTATACAAAAAAGAGAGGAAGACAATGAGAAAGCTTGAGATTAGCATGAATTATGGGGGGAAGTCAGGTCTGCCAATTAATCTCAAGGACCTGATGGCATGAGAGAAAGGGCTTTTCCATGCAAGAAAGCAGCTGCTCCTGGGTCAGTTTCATATCCTGTGATCTCACACTGTACTCTTTCTTCAACAGTAGAGCCAATTCATTTCCATCCCAGCTGCAGTGGGCAACAAACCCCTCTGAAGCTCTTCTTTCTCAGGAAAAGCTTGACCTCTCCCTCTTAGTAGAATTAAGGGAGCAGGAGGGAAATTGATGCTATGTTCTGTTAGTTCTTCCCTTTCTCTTTGGCAGGGGATGAGCACCATGCAAAGCACAAGACTGCAGCCTGGTTTATTTTTATTTATGTTCCCATTTATTTATTGATTATTTACCAGGTTTACAAACCACCACATTCCAGAAGCACTAAGCAATGTTCAAAATCAGAATGTAGTACAGAGTAACAATCCATCAATCCATCAATCCACAGGTTTGGCACAGATCTTCCTCTGTCTGATTAATTAGAAAAGCCAGGCCTTAACTTTGCTCCAGTAGGCCATAAGACAGAGGTCAGTGGAGGGAAGCAGCTATCAAGAATGGCCACCTGTGTGTCCTCCTGTTGTACCCCCTGATAGGTGTCAAGCTTCAGTAGACGCTCTCCCTTCATCTGGATCAGGCAGACAGAATGTACTTAGAGAAAGCAATCTCTAAGACACCCAGGCTCTGAGCCTTCTAAGGATTGATAGATAATAGCCAGTACCTTGAAACATACCAGTAGCAAGGCAGCCCCCATAACTGCAATGTTATGTCAGCACACAAGCTCTTACATTTTATCCCAGCTGGACATTCTGGATGGTCTTCAAGAAGAGTTTCATGTAGAGTTAGTTGCAGTAATCCAGGGAAGACGTGACAAGGACCTTCACCCATTGTTTTCAGGGCATCCTATTGTAGGTAGTCTTTTGTGTGGTGTGGGAAAAGGACATTTTGGGGACAGTGATATTTCCCCCCTTTTTCTCAGCACTTCTGAGTTGGTAAAAGTGAAGGTAATCCCACAACATTTTTAAACTGGGATTGCAGAGTGGAAATGACGGATGTGTGAAACCATCGTAAGAGCGGATAAAACAGAACAAGAAAAGAAGAAGTAAAGATGATGGCAGTGATGATGGCAGCAGCTTCTCCTTGTGTAACTCCAGTTTAAGGCCATAGAAAGAGAGAGAGCTCACTTTTAGTGCTGCTACTTGTCTTCTGACAAAGGTGGGTGGGTCACTCTCAGAATCTCAGAATTATACATCATCTTGCCTGTAAGGCATCTCATGGACCACCAGAAAGTTGTGCCCTAGCCTTTGAAAATATATAGATTATATTAAGATTGTTATTTCTTATTAAGTTTTGAAGAATATATATAGTCTCACACCTATCTGCTACTGTGTAATATTTAAATAATTGACAGGAAATCTTTACATCCTATATGGAGAATGAAGGAATGGGTAGAGGATGGGAATTATGTACATTTTGTGGAGGCCAGAAATGAAGCTATGGCACACCTGAAGATATTTATGCAATTTTTGGTCCCTGCGTCTTTTATCTATGTAGCATGTCAGAATCTTGTAAAAGTTGCTAAATTATTCAGAAAGAAGGAATGAATACAATTAGCTAATTTACTACTTAGTACATTTCTGGTCTTGTGAAGCAATGCAAGCACAGGATGTTTTTCCTGCCTTGTTATGTAGTCTAATGGGTAAGACTGTCCCACATCTCCTTTTTTGTTAATAGTTATTCATAGCAGATTGTATTAAAATTGGAGATGTAATCCCCAGAGTTACTGAATTTCATAGGTACAGCCCTCCTCCCTTGTATTTGTCCCACATTTTTAGACATTAAGTTCAGATTATATGGAAAGTGTTTTTGTATTGTATTTTGAAAGTTTAAATGAGTAGACAATGTGTGGCCCTGAGCATCCCAGAAACCCCTACTGTCAACATTCAATGACAAATCACTGCACCCTTGTGGCATAATGTATCTCCAATTTCTACAAAACAAGATCAGGTGCATTAAGCCTTCTGATAAGTTTGATGTACGTAAAACTGCCCCCAAACCACAGAAATGTTGGAAGGCTAAATAAATAAATAAATAAAAAACCTGGGAAAAAATGCCCCACCCAGCTTTGGGATTCCACCTTGCTTTTCTTTGCAGCCGCTGAAAACCAAAAATATTAGAAAAGGTGCTGTTAAAAGGCTTCCAGCCAGTGCTAAATTAAACCTGTGGAACATGATCATCTCTATTCTCCCAGTCAGAAGATCAGAATATGAAGCATCCCGGAAAGTGAATTGCTTCTAGAACACACAGTATTTAGGCCAGTATTTCTCAACCTTGGCAGACTTTAAGAATTTAACTTTAAATTCCCCATGCTGGCTGGGGAATTCTGGGAGTTGAAGTCCACACATCTTCAAGTTGCCAAGGTTGCGAAACACTGATTTAGGCGCTTGTAGGATCTTTCCCTTCTCCAGAACACAGTGCCTACTCTCCTTCAACAAAAAAGTGATCAGTCCCATACTGTAGTTTCTTAACTACCTTAGTAGCCAAGTCCTGATCATTAATTGATTTTAATGATGCTGAGTAGTTTGATTTTAACTGTATTGATGTTACTGTCATATTGTATTTTGCTTTATAGCAGTAAGCTGCCTAGAGTGCTTGTTTGAGCAGAAAGGTAGGGTATAATTTTAATTAAAAAAATTAAAAGGGGAGCCACAGGAAATACCTGCAGGCTCGTAGCCAGAGAAACTGCTAAGCAACATAAGTATTAGAACTCTGCAGGAGCCAAATACAGTCGCTACATCTGTGAGATGAAGCATGTAAATAAATAAGTTACACTTTATATCCCCAGTGTGTAAATGGTGATAGAAGTCCAGAGGTGCCGGAAAGCAACAGTTTAAGGCATTTTGACACGTGCAGTTACAGACAGTGTCTGCTGCTTGCTTGACTATGAAAACAAATGCAGGGACATAGTTTCAATTAAAAATATCTAGATAAGCAAAAAGAAAACCAAACTATCATTTCATGTTTCAAAACAGTTTTTCTAACCAAGTTCATCCCCAGAATAAGAGGATTGCTGGGGGTGGTGGATGGGATGAGGACAATACAAAATGTATATCAGAGAAATGGTGAATAAAGGATTCCTCTGTCCCATCATCCTATTGATCTAACTATGTATTTCTAACCTTACATTAATTTATCATTATCGGTGCCATTCCTTCGTCTGGTTTTTCCAGGGAATCCAGAGTTTTGCAGCTACAGCCCTGGAATCTAGTTTTTTCCATCACCATCTCTTCTTCAGAAAGAAGCAATATAAAGAACTTTTCTGACGTTTGATATTGTTAACTTAACCAGGCTGCTTTCCCACATGGGGCTTATAAATGTGGGAGAATCACTGCTCAAATTTCTTCCTTCTCATTTTCAAAGGATCTTGAGGCATGTGGTGAAGTGGCTGGTGAAGCTATACTCTTTCTGCACTGACTGCTTTGCAGTCTTTAATTGTGCTAGCAGGACAGCCCGTAAATCCCTTTTAAGATTAAAATTTAGGATTAGGGTTTGGTTTGAA